AAATTCTAAATTAGCACATATAAAATGTGTAATAAATAATTGAGAGATTAGTTATTTTATATTATATGTTGAATCTATTTTAAAGTGCTGTTCTAAAATCTACATTAAGAAGCAGTTTTTCATAACTTTAATATTTTAATTCTATTTTGCATCCAAAGGCCTTGTATTGTACCTCTTCCTTCATTTTTCAATTAGTATGAATGTTCTTCTTTGATATCCCCTTGTAGATTCAAAATAAAATTACATTCTTGAAGTTTCTAAGTTATGTAGAATTAGAAAATGATTTTTACATTGAAATTTTGTGTCTTGTGGATACAAGGACATAAATTCTTCCTCACACAACTTTGGTCACATCATTTGGTATCAAGGCCAAGTTTAAGGCCTCCATACATTGTGGATTCAAAGATCATCCAAATTAATTCTTGTAGATTCAAGAATTGAGGAAACTTTGTGTCATATGGATTCAAGGTCCTCAATTACTTAACTCTTAATTTTTTGTTTTTATTATTTCATAATTGTATTTCATCAATGATTTATCAATATTGAGATACGATAAGGTTTTAAGTTTGAGATTTGTTTGTGTGAAGTAGCATGCGGAAAAATATGATTTAAACCTTTTGATGACATCTGGTGTGCATGATATAAGGTTTTGATAACTTTTTTGTTAGAACTCTCTAGATATATATGATACACATTTCAATAAACTGGTAGTTTGCCATTTATATTCAAATATCAGGTAGAATGATATAAAGTGAAATCCTCTAAACATAAACGCCCATTGAATGAAAATTTTTTGTTGAAAAAACTTCATTAGATATTGTGATACAAGTTATCTATTTGATTAACCCTAGTATCATAATTTTTTCATAGTAAGATGTAAGATGTGTAGTTAGTCAAAAAAATGTGATAGTACTATTGATGGTGATAGTAATGAAAATTTTATTTCTTCAAATGGGTAATAAAGTTAAGGCTAAAGATTAAGAGGCTGCATATCCTCATAAATGCTTGGTGAAATTTTCAACTGCAAAAAGTTACCTAGAAGAAGTTCAATGCTATGTAGTTGATATGTATACTTATCAAATTTTTTTTAGGAATTACTTGTGATTTTAATGTACACATATTTTATAGAAATGGAAAGACAATTACTATAGTCCTAATGAAGGAAGTCACTTTTGTAACCTGAGTGCAAAAGTGAAAAACCAAGTTACATAAGTTGAAAGTAAATAAGCTTTTAAGATTTCAGATAAAAATAAGAAAAAAGTGTTATAAAGAGAAATGATAGGAGAAGACAAACTTCAGATTTCGTTGTTAAATAGGTAAAAAATATTTTTTTGAGCCTACCAATTATTTAGATTCACATTAATGTGGTGTTAGGAGCATAATGACTCAGTTCCACTTGCAAGCCTACCTCATTTTCCATATGACAGGATGAATGTCGAAAAGCATGAAAATTCATATGAGACATAGAAGAAATACTATTGAAAAGGTTGATAAAAAAAATTACAAATCCATATGTATTACATCCTCTAAATAAATGATATAATTTTTAACATATAGGTTTTTATGATATGATATATAGTTCCAACGTTTCTCAACAGTTCATTTAGACATTGGTTATCTTGAAACCCAAATACATGCATGTGAGACATGGAAACATTCTTTCATGAAAATTTCAAGTATCTACAAATCATTTGCATTGGTTACTTCACCTAATATGACAATAGTGAGTGTAATTAATTTCTGCAACAAGTTTTTTAATTCTTGTTTTGGCCATATGTTTGGTTATAAAGGTATAGAAGAACATATAATTTATTTGAAAGAGGTTTCAAGAGTTTTTTCCATTGAATGACATATACATAGCTTTCATAAATGCAACTTTAAGACTGGCCTTATATTTTATTTTTAATATGTAGTCATCCGAATAATTTCTATCCAAAAATTTCGTATGCTCCAAAAAATGGCCAAGGGATACCAATTAGATAAAAATTTCATAGCTTCAATATATTGTCATATTTTGACCACAAATTTCTGAAACATTCGGTTCTACACTCATACGTATTATTTATTCTATGAAGAACGAAAATTTTAGTTGGACAAAAGGAGTAATGAGATTTGATCTTTGTTAGAGATTTTATTAACCTTCTCAAGAAAAATTTGTAAACAATACTTTCTGTAACTTTATTCATTACATTTCAAAAGATAAATTAAAGGAGTGGGAATTAGCCATAGTACCAAATTGGCCCCACTGCTATTATCGATTCTAGTTGATTTTCTAGTAATAGCTCCATTTTTTCTTGAGCTTGGGAAGGACCTTCTCCTAACATCATCATCTATGCTTAGGCATTTGTATTTCTACTATCCATGCATTATTTCTCTCCTTCAAGTCTTGCTCTTGTCATCTAGACTTACTTCTGTGACTTCTCCTCCTCTCATTGGAGTTCTGCCAACCTAAGCTTTTGGTAACTTGTGGCATTATGTCAAACATCCATTCAATTAGAAGAACTATTTGTAAATAGTATATTAGGTACAAGAGAGAGAGGTTCTTGAAGTAGATGATAAAATCATTGTATCATGTACAAATTTCAGTAGGAAACTATAATCAGAAGTTAAAGGTGATGATCGCATTTTTGATCCTCAATGTGGATTATATTGATAAATATTATATGGCCACAGATGTAGACTAACTAATTTATTTAGGCAGGGGAGTCTAATGAAGGACATGACTAATAGAAAAGTGAAGGGGGCAATTAGTATTTGATCTGTGTGGCCTAAAATTAGTGAACTTGACATTGTGAAAGCTTGAAATATGTGTTACAAAGATGAAAATACCCTAAAAGGTCTAATATCAGATCAGGCTCTTAATAAAACATGTGAGGAACATGCTAGAGATTAGTTAATTAATTTTCCATCTCTTATTATGTTTTGAACTGAGTTTTTAGTATGTTTTAAAATGTTTTTTTGAAAATTATTTTAAAGAGAAGTTTTAAAGTGCTTTAAGTATATTATAAAGCACTGTTGAAATTATTGTACATTTTAAGGGACTTTCAAATTGTATTTTTGCCTATTTAAATAACCCCACATAACAATTAAGTTAGTTGAAATATCATATCCTAGTTATTTGAAAATTCTCATGAGAGATTGAGTATAACAGCTTGCAGAATTATACTTTTTCTTATCTTAGGAGGGAAATAGGCTCATGATTTGATTCACTTTGAAGAAAGAGACCAATGCTGCAGTAATGTATCTTGGAGAAATTTAAGGTTGTATGAGTAGTGGAAAAATGAAATTATTTAGTGGATGTTTTGGTAATTATTGTAACAAGCATTAAAGGGCATTCTTTTGATAATTTCAGCTTTGAAAACACGAAAATGGTAACCTATAAAATAATTAACCATATTTGTATCACAATATATTTTAGAATGAAAATTTTAGATCTATGAAGGAGCAAAAATTTTAAGATTGGGTCTCTATAATCGAGCTTCTATCGCAATAGTCTACATCTCTATTCTCAAGGAATAATTAATTTATAAGAATTCATCTATATATTCTTACAAAAATAATTCCTAATGGTAGACGGTGACCTATAGCCATAATTTAGAAATATTTTACAAATGCTTTGGAAGACAAAGAGCTATGAATCTAAATGGAGTTTTAATGAATACTATGGCCAACTTGTAGCTATGAATCATAAAAAATAATTCGGAAATCATGAGCTCGTTAGGATTTGTGATTGTAGAGGAAGCTAGTTAAAACTGTGTTTTATTCCTAAATTTTAATAATAAAGAGGCTAGTGGAACACCTGAATGGTCTCTTGAGAGTAAAGTAGATATGAAGTGCCGTTTAATTATAAAATTAGATTTCTTATTTCGTTTGTCCTAGATCTACTCACTTTTTGATTCATTAACTTGTGCAAACTAATATATAACCTAAATTTCAATAAAAACATAAAATAATATTATTTACTCGGTTTCACTTTCAGCCTTCTCAGAACTAATATTGCAATATTTGATTGCAGCAATCACTATGTTTAGGTTATTAAAGAATAATGTATTTCTCAATATTATACTAGTCGTTGGCTTTAGTTGGTAATTGTGTTGAAAGACCCATACCTATGGTGAGAACCCTTGATCTCCTCATCTTTTGTATCCCTTCCATCCTCTCCCCCTATTCATGAATCATACCTCCTCATCTTTGTCACTCTACTCATTCGTTCTTCCTATCACCTTCTTTTTTTCATTCATCATTCTAATGTTCCTCCTATTGCTCTCTCATCATGACACTAGCACCATCAACCAGCATATTCACTAGAACGGCTATTTGTTTCCAAATAATGAAGCATCCATTCTGACACCCATGAGTGGATGGTCTATTTACTGTCGCACTTGCGTGCAGATGGGTATCTATTGCCTGCATGCTTGTCAACACATGTATGTGCTCATTCTATGTGCCTACTTAGGCCCCACTCAAGTTCTTGGATAATTATTGCTCACCTATTTGGTTGGATTGCACATTCTGATTACAGCACCTTGAGAAGACTGAATGGATGAACTATTTTGTGATTTCCCATTTGAACTAGGTACCTGCTAATGTGATTTCCCATTTGAACTAGGTGTGAAAGGACATTTGATAGCATTCTAAGCAGAAACCTATTCAATAGATTAAGTTTAGCTAACTAAGTAAAAACTATTTTGAGAGTTAAATTAACACTCTATGTGATGGACCCCATTTTATAGTTTAATGTAGTTAAAATTTTTCGAATCTTCTCTTAGTATGGAACCCATTTGATAATTCATGAGATGGAACTCATTTGACCACCGTTTGGAAGAGGCCTATTCTATACATTTTCCTAGCTTTTAACCCATGTAGTAACTTGTGGGGTGGATGTAACAATGTAGTTTTTTCATATTTTTTTATCCCGAAAAGTTGTCTTATCCTATGACGGCGCTAGGAGAAGGGGAGGAAACCAGATCTGGCTGAGAGGCGGCGAGAGAAGAAGAAGGATGGCCGAAGCGGTTCTGAGCTACGTCGTGAAACGGGTCGGCGACGTCCTCATCGATGAAGCAGTCTTCTTGCACGAAGTGAAAGACCAGGTGGAGTGGATCATGGACGAGCTCCGAGCGATGGAGTGCTTCCTGAAAGACGCCGACGCGAGGAGCAAGGGGGACGAAAGGGTGAAGAACTGGGTGAGGGATGTAAGGGAAATCGCTTATCGGGCGGAGGACCTCGTGGAGTCCTTCGTCCTGGATGCCCAGCGGAGGCGACTACGGCTCAAGGGCTTCATCCGGACCACTGTTTGCTGCCTTCCCCTCCGCTGCGACCTTATCGTCCTCCATCAATTCGGTTTGGAGATCGAGGCCATAAAGGTTAAAATTCGCGAAATCATTGACCGAAGAAACACCTACGGAATCCAGAACCTGGGCGGAGAGGCGAGGCAAGTCGATGAGAAAGTTCGGGAACGCAGGAGGGTCGTTCTCCATGCTGCAAATGCTGATCTGGTCGGCATGGATAAGGAGAAGAACAGGATCCTCGAGCATCTGTTGGACGAGAGCAGGAAGAAGCGTTCGGTGATATCCATTGTGGGGATGGGCGGCCTCGGGAAGACTACTCTTGCTAAACGAGTCTTCAATGAAGCAAGAGCCAAGTTCAGTCACTCGATGTGGATCGTCGTCTCCCAACAGTACTCAGCTATGGATCTCCTTCGAGACTTTCTTCGGCAGGTCACGGAGCTTGGAAACGAGGAACTCGACAAAATGGAGAGGGCCAGGCGTGAGGAGATGCTTTACCAGACTATCCGGATGAAGAAATACTTGATCGTTATGGACGACCTGTGGGACAAGGAGGTTTGGAGAATCCTCAGTCCGCATCTCCCAGACGACGAGAACGGAAGCCGGGTGCTGATCACCACCCGCTCCATCGACGTTGCCAGAGCTGCGGACCCATCTACCCATCTCTACGAGCTGCGGTTTCTAACCCAGGAGGAGAGCTGGGAGCTCCTCTCCAAGAAGGCGTTCCCGAATCTTGATGATATCGAAACAGTCTGTTCAGAATCGTTGAGGGAAGTCGGGAAACAGATCGCCAGGAAATGCGAGGGCCTGCCTCTGGCGCTGGTGGTGCTCGGTGGTCTTCTGTCGACGAAAGGTCCGTCACTCCGGGAGTGGAGGAGACTCGCGGAGACCATCGTCTGGGAAAACATCGAAGATGGCCGTCTGTGCTTGGATATACTGGGGCTGAGCTACGCCGACTTGCCCCATCACCTGAGGTGGTGTTTCCTTTATTTCAGTTCCCTTCCAGAGGACTTCGAGATTGAAGTGGACAAGCTGATCCGATTGTGGATCGCTGAGGGCTTCGTCGAGCAAAGAGAGCGAGAAACACTCGAGGAAACAGCAGAGTTTTACCTGGAGGAGCTTGCCCGGCGGTGCATGGTGATAGTTCTGAAACCTGAATACGACAACCACATCTTCAGACATAAGGCAAAATGTTCACAAAACTGCCGGATCCATGATCTGCTGCACGATTTTACAGTTGCAGAGGCAAAGGAGGCGGGTTTCCTCGTTTGCCACCGGTTCCCAGACAACCGAGACGCCTCCAGATTGGATTCCTCTGTGCGGCGCCTTTCTCTTCACGGGGGGGGGGAAGGAACGGTGGACTACGTCTCCCAATTAAACTCCACACGAAGAGTGCGGACTTTATTGTGGTTCAATGCCCACTGGAGGCAGGTTATAAGCTTTCCCTTTCCAGAGCTGAAACTCCTCAGAGTCATCGATCTAGAGGGGGCACGACTCGCCGTACTGCCAGAACAAGTTGGAAACCTGATCCATCTTCGATTCTTGGGCTTGAGATGGACAAGGATAAGGAGTCTTCCATCTTCAGTGGGGAAACTTCGTCATTTACAGTGCTTGGACTTGTTGTTCACGCCGATCGAGACGATACCGAGAGCTGTGTGGAAGATCGAAGCCTTACGTCACGTCCACGTTCCCCCAGAAGTGGAGCCGGAGATAATCGACGCAGGCTTAAGAAACTTGCAGGTGCTCAAGGTCGTCCGGGTCGGGAGCTGGATAGATAGCTGCCTAAGGTCCCTGACCAGTCTCCGGGAGCTGCAACTAACTGGCATCGAAGGCTGTCATCATCGCGCGCTGTCGTCTTCGCTACCGAAGTTGATCCGCCTCAAGAAGTTGAGCTTGGCTGGCTGGTCAATCCCAGCCTGTCTATGGACACCGTCCAGCTTTTTTTCCCTTGAAGTCTTATGGCTGGAAGGGACAGTGGCAAGGCCACAGCAATCAAGTTCTGCCGGCGACCAGTGGCCCCCCAATCTCATGGAAATCTCACTAATTGGCACTAGGCTGGGTCAAAACTTGATAGGGGCCCTCGAGAACCTCCCTGAGCTCACATATCTGTTGCTTGGTTCTCAGTCCTACAGAGGAAACGAGATAATCTGCTCCCCTGGCGGGTTCTCGAAGCTGCAGTGCCTCGTACTGTATTCATTGGAGGAGTTAGAGAGGTGGGTGGCTGAGGCTGGTGCCACGCCCCGCCTGAGGAGCATGAAGATCTACAGCTGCATGAAGTTGGCCATGCCAGAAGGGTTGCAATACATGACTGCTTTGAAGGACCTCACTCTGTGGGATATGCCCCTTGAATTCTGTTCTAGAGCTCGGAAAGAGGGAGAGGACTGGCACAAAATCCGGCACATACCTTCCATCACTATTTCAGTATTTGGAGAATCGTCCTCGCGGAATTTCTGAGCCAATCATAGAAATTATGTTTGATTGAGGGAGAGGATTGACCCAAAATCCGGCACGATGGATGAACTGTGTACAGTAAAAAACCGTAATATCCGGGCAATTTCCCTGAAGAAAATGATGCCTTGATCGTGTTCAGAACCATCATACCTTGAAACTTGGAAATTGTTCAGTCCAGAGCAGACCGGTGTGGCCCGCGAGGGGACTTTTCGAAGGGTTGCTGTTGGCGAGAGAGGAGAGTTGATTGGGCTCGGATTGGTCAACGGACCGATATCAGTAAATCACCGCCGACGCTACATGAACTGTTAGAAAATAAAAAAAAGTAAGAAAAGTCCAGAGTTTGTTAATGGAGTTCAGTTTTTAAATTCAAGAAAATCTTCTCACTAATCTAGACAACTCAAAAGCTAAAATGAATAAATATTTCTATCAAGATAAACATAGGTACAAAGGTCATAAATAGTAGTGAGAACATTAGTTCCTTAAAGTACTCACAAAAGAGAAGTTTCATCATAGTTTGTAAGATTAAGATATATTCTTGGATGTTGTAATTGTTTATAATTTTTTTCCTACTTTATAAAAATGATACACTCTGCCGTTCATTTGCTTAATGTGTTTCCTGATTGGGTAGGTTCGAGATTTTCACTGGTTCTCAACTCAGTAATCTTTAATGATCTTTTGTTATTTACTTGCCACTAAAACCTATGTCACAACATAATTTAAACTTTTCCTAATTAAGACCTTGAGGTTATTGAATCTGAAGGATTTAGTGTTGAGATCAATAGAAAATGATAAAATATAATGAGAATGGATTAAAGTCATACTTGAATATATGAAGACACAAGTACAAGAATAACCTTTTGAATTAGCACAGAAAAGTCATCTAATGACCTTTTAAAAAGATGAGATACTCTAAGAGTGACTCACGACCTGTGACCCAAGGACCATGACCCCTTATTTATAGACAAGAGGTGATTAGTCTCTTGATATTTTTTTCTAATTTACCTTATCATAAAATTAAAATAAGATTTAGTGTCTATATGTATTTATGTTTATATCCACAGTTACGAGAGAGGCTGTAATCTCAAATATTTAAACTCTAATGAATCATTTTAAGTAGAATTAATTCAATAATAGCCTTATAATATAGAATTCATATATATGATACATTATGACATTATGAGCTCAAAATTTTAATATTATTGCTAAAGATATCTTTGACAATCTCATCTATCATTATATCAATATAGAACTAAAAAGGGCTTTTGTTCACATTTTTTACGTAATTGAACCCAACAATAATCACATATATCGATATAATGAATGACATAAATCAAGTATGGATGTGTAATATGAAAATTATATGAAATGTGACTCTTACATGTACATTTTCAACTTAGTCCTCTTTATTTTGAATGGAGATCAAATAACTATATTAGGAGTAGGAATAATCATAAAATTTATCTATGTATGAAATAACCAAAATGTATGTTTATAAATGTATTAACATGAAAAGACAAACTCTCACTGAAATTATATATCCTCATTAGGTATTACACCCATATGAGCAATATACTCATAAAAGACCTTTGATAACATTCTCTTAGTAAGTGAATCTACTACCATGGAGTTTGTCCCAATATGTTCTATAGATATCTAGACACTTTGAACTCTTTCTGTAACAATTAGAAACTTGATGTCTATATGTTTAGACATCGTCAAACTCTTATTTTTATTAGAAAAATATAACGGTTGATTTATTATCATAAAATAACTTTAGTGATCTTTCAATTCCATCTAGAATTCGCAACCCTATGATAAAATTCTTCAATCAAATTTTATGATTATATACCTCATAACATATTGTAAATTCTATTGTCATAGTAGAAGAAGTTATGAGTGTCTACTTAGTACTCTTCCATGATATAACTCTTTTAGATAGTAGCTAGATATACTCATAATGGACCGATTGCTATCAATAAATCTAGTAAATAGGAATTTGAATATCCAATGATCTCCAAATGATTTAATTTTTTATATGTGTGCATATAAATCTGTCTTTTACAAATACTGCATAACCCGTTTACTTAATTTCTAATGATCTACACTAGAGTTACTTAAATATCTGCTTAGTACTTTAATTATGCACACAATATTTGGATGCATACATACTTGAGCATACATAAGGCTTACTATGGCTGATGCATAAAGAATCTTATATATCTCTTTAATCTCATAATCATTCTTAGGATATTAATTGAGACTAAATTTGTCTTTTTTATCAACAAGGGTTTCATAAGATTTATATTCTTACATACCAACTCTCGCACGAACTTTCTCAATATAATTCTTTTTTGACAACCCTAAGATATTTCGAAGACGATCTCAGTAAATCGCAACACCTACTATAAAAGAAGCTTCGCCAAGATCCTTCATCTCAAAATTCATTTACATAAACTTTTTGGTGTCACATAATAAGCCTATATCATTACTAACCAGTAATATGTTATCTACATATAAAACTAGAAGTATATGTTTATTCCTATTGAACTTATGATATACACATTCATCACCTATATTCATCTCAAAATCAAATGAGATGATAACTTGATAAAATTTGTGATACCATTGATGAAAAATTAGTTTTGACCCATAGATAGACTTCTTTAATTTTCATACTATTTTCTTTAGGTCTTCAAATACAATTTTTTTTGGTTATATGATAACATGATAAATATAGTGATAATATCTATGATTTCATATGCTTTGAGCTCAAAAGTTCACTAAGATCATGTTAGTAATAGTACAACTATGAATATGAGTAATGACTCCTTGCTTATAAGCTCTCATGGAAAATATGTTGATATATATATATATATATCAATTTCATGATTATTATAGAATTATTAACAATATAAATATATAGGAATGTATGCCACATTGCTAATATTAACCTTTTAATATCCTGCTCTATTTTCATGCACATGTGAACACTAATTTATTATCTTATGGCTAACCTGTTTGATTTTTTGGAATTCAAATAGTGTTATTATTGATGAATATTTTTTAGTATGTGACGTGTAACAATTAGGAACATTTGATTAAGTGATTAGTTTGAGGGCTTGAAGGTTATCAAGCTGAAAGTAAAAGGTCATGTAGCATGCTGTGGGCCAAGAAAGGCCTGAAGGAGGAGAGTGGAGCACGCATAACCTGTTCCAACCCAATATCTCCTCAACTTCCTTCTCTAAGATGGGCCATGAATTCAAGATATCATGGGCGCTCAAGTGAAGGAAGGATAGGGTCATGGGAGGAAAATAGGAATGAGATAAGGTTCTTTTGCAAAATGTACCCCTATGTATAAAACATCTTTTTTCCTTTCTTTTGATGGTATGCTGGAGATTTTCTTAGTAGAGGCTAGCCGCAGGAAAAGGCTCTCTCGGGATCCAGCTTGATAAACCTGAACAGAGGTGATTTATTACATGTTTTGTTCTTGATCTTGTAATTGTGTTCTTACTAGAGAAAGCCGCCAGGTCTGGGCGAAATATATAGACTCGAGGTATGCACTTTAGGTCACAAGATTCATGTTTCATCTCCTGTTATCCAATAAAACTATTTCTCCTTGTTTACATTTCTATTTCTAATAAAATTGAACTTTTGTCTAACTGTCCCTCTAGAGACCATGGAGATCTTGACCTTTGCAAGAAGATCAAGATCTCTTTGAGCTTCTTGCCCTTCTTCACCTTCTTTTCTTTCAAATCACTCTTGTAAGCCGTAAGTAGGAGTGTCTAAAACATTTCTCAATTCTGAAATTGGAATCTCAATTCTCGTTGATTCGTTCACAATCACAAATATCAGGATTCTCATTCCTGAATTATTCCTTTCTCCCTATTCTACCTCTCTAGCCTTTTACTTATCTTTTCAACTTAATCAATATTAGAAATATAAATCTAATTTTCCTGAGGATCGACCCCATGTCCTATCCTTATAATAAAATAAGAGAAGTAGAAGAAAAATGAATATAAATATTTTGAATAAACTCAAAAGCAAAACAACAATTATGCAACCCTAAAATGAGTTTATGATTATACTATATATATCGTTTCATCAATGTCACCATTGAAAAATGTAGTTTTTACATCCATCTGATGTAACTCAAAATCAAAATAAGTTACTAGTGCTATTATTATTATATAAGAGTTTTTGAATGAAACTGGAGAGAAAGTCTCAATATAATTGATGCCTTCTCTTTGAATAAATCTCTTAGTGACAAGATGAACTTTATATATTTCCACATTATCTTTTGAATCATTCTTCATTTTAAATATTCATTTACAATCAATAGGCTTCGCACATTTGGGTAATGAGATGATTCCAAACATCATTATACTTCATATATTTAATTTATTCATTCGTGACATCGATCCACTTATGAGAATTAGAACTTTACACCACTTAATAGAAGTTGATAGGATCATATTCTATCACTTTGATGTCATCTTCATATTTTAAAATAAATACGATATAATCATCTGAAATAACATTCCTCCTCTCTCTAGTAGATCTTTTAAATGACACTGATTCTTGAGTATATAGAGTTTGTTCTTTTGAAGTAGGAAGTATGATTGCATTATTTTGATTTGAAGTTGATTGTTGATCAATGCTAGTCAAAATAATATCATCAGGATAATTGTCAATAGTAATATAAGGAATATTTATATATTTCTCTTCAAAATCAATGTCTCTAACTTTATCTATTTTTGTAAACTCAACATTCTCAAAGAAATAAATATTTTTCATCTTAAAAATAACCTCAATAGTGGGATTATAAAACTTATGCCCTCTAGATCTTTCCAATTATCCAACAAAGTAACAATTAACTATTTTGAAGTTAAGTTTTTTTCATTAGGTCTATAAGATATTACCTCTGTCGGACAACCCCAAATATACAAATGTTTAAAAGTAGACTTATAACCCATCCAAAACTGATAAAAAGTTTCGACAGTTGT